CCAGCGCTCGTATGGTCCGGCCTCCGGCCTCAAATGAAAACCCTGTACCTATGCAGAAACGCCAAGTAGTGATCATGTTTCCAAGGGCACACTTGCCAAGAACAGAAAGTTCGACTGGATCACAAACCGATGTTACATTGCTAGATGTCCAACAGTGGGAAGGCGAGCAAGAGGAGTTAATTCAGTAACGTCAAAAGAATGAAGAAATGCGGCAAAAGCTGTAAGACAAACCTACTACCAAGAGGGAATTGTTTATGGAGGATGTTTTAAAAGGCGATGAATCAGTAAGGTTCTATACTGGTGTTCCTTCTCTAAGTTGTCTGCAAATGCTTTCAGAGTTACTAAGACCAGAAGCAGAAAAATTGAAATACTGGGATAAGAATAAAGGTAAAACTATGGCATATCCAACATCAGGTAAAAAGAAACCGGGACGAAAGAGAATTTTGAATCCAGAAGAGGAATTTGTCATGACTCTTGTGAGGTTAAGTAATGGGGAGACACCTTGCAGACATATTTTCTGTCTCTCCATCACAAGTCAGTCGTATACACAGGATGAAATGACTAAATTAAGTTTCCTTAAAGGTAACTTAAAGGTTAACATTAGAAGTATTTAAGACATCTTTAGGTGACATACGAAAGTTCTCAAATGAATCTTTAATTGAACTTTCAGAAGTCAATTAAAGTCTCCTTATGAACCATTTCATGAACACTTTAGGATCATATGAAAGTAAACCTAAATAGCCATTTAATTGACTTTAAGAATCCTCCTAATTCTCGTAAACTCGTCTTTAATTGCCAAAACTTCTACTTGTAAAGGCAACTTAAAGGTTTCTTTAATCTTTTGTTTCCCTTTAAGTACTACTTAAAGTTGCAGGTTTTGTTGTAATTCATCTTTAGTTGTACTTTCAGGTCCTCTTAAATTTCAAGTTTTGTTAAAATTCATCATTTAGTGACCTTTAAGTGCCTCTAAAAGCTGTAGGTTTCACCTTAAATTGACTTTTGATTTGCTTAATCACACCCACATTTATATTATGATAAATTATAATATTTTGGGAAACTTCTAAATTGTTAGAAAAAGAGACATCACACATACAAGTAATTACAGAATGTTTGAAATTGCAGTGATGAAATAGTTTCGTTCAAAACTCACTTCCTCCCGAGATAGAGTAAACCCACAATAAAGCTGAGGATATCTCATTTGAGGCACATACATAATTAAAAAAGAGACATCAAAATGTTTGAATTACTAATTGTCATACTTTATTAAGCATTTCTCTTTCATTAATGTATAATTCACATAATAATCTCAGTCATCTATATAGAATAGAATCTTTATCAATATAAAAATATAAGAACTACAGAATATAACTAGCTGTAGCAACACACTACACAAAAAGCTATTAATTCACAAATTTCACTCTCAAATCCAGCCACTAAGAAATGCAATTTGAACTGATACTAACAATAAAAAATAAGTTCAACCTATCAATCTAAAAAAATCAGTATATTTTTCTAAATCAATTTAAATCTGCAATAGCTATCAATTATTTGCCGACCTGTACATCAATATGGAAGAAAGTATCTCATATGGAGGAAATTAAAATATAAAATTTAAGAATTCACAATTACTTACTTTAGATAATGAGACCATTAAAATTGCTAATTAACATATTCAATGAAAAAGAAGTCTCACACAGGCATTTAAAAGACCTTCATTCTAGACATGGCTGATTAATACTTTTTTCAACAATCAATTTGTCACCTTAAATTGATAAAACAATTTTTTTTACTGCCTTATTGCCCACCCTGGAAAATTTTCAGTTGGTGGGCATCTCAGAGAAGGTTGCCCATCAACTCTGGGTAGGATTCTCTCCTTAGCTCTTGAAGTGAGTTTTTTCCTATAGGCCTTATCAAGTTTTTTTTTTATTTTTTTCATTCTTCTACTCTCCCATTGAAGGCGATGGACAGAGTATTTTGTTAATTTTGAGTTATTTATATCATCATCCTCCTCGTAACAGCTTTCTTCACTGCTCATCGCCTCCATCACAAGAACCTCCGCCACTCTCCCCTTTTCATGCTGGTCAGCCCAGTTGACCAGCTCCAGGGCTGTAGTTCGTCTCATTAACTTCTGAAAAAACAAAAATATACAACAAGCATGAGAAGGGTATTATAAGGCCTCAAATGGAAAATATGATCCAAATTACTAATTTCTCTTGATATGCATGTGCACACAGTGTAAGAATGGAATTCTTAAGCATGTTATACTATAGTCTCCTTGTCCTTTATTTTTCATCAAATGGTCCATACAAGCTATCATTGATCTCAAATCACATCTTAATATTTTTCAATCTTTTCCTCAACTACAGATCCATCTTTAAAATAATATTATACAATTACCAAATTTACTTTACAAAGATTTTCTTTGTAAGGAAGGCTCTAGATACAGACTAGAATACATAATTCATTTAACAATTGCTCTCATAGGCACAAAACAATTTTGACAGGACACAGTCCCTTAAAAGTGTCTATATGCAAAGCCATCCAATTTTGAAGTGGCAAAAAAAAATGCATTCAATGGGAAACAGCAGGGTATATGAAAAGTAAAATATTAAAATAGTATCCCAATAAATACCTCTCTTTGGCGACCACTCTTTCTTGTTTTTTGTTTATGTGCCTCATAGCGATTACTGCTCTTCAGCTTATGTGTTTCTAGGCACGTTTTAAAATATCTTTGTAAAGCAGCTGTTCAAAGAAATAATTATCAAAATGCCATGAGAAGTTGATTATAAAAAGATTCCCATATAAATAAATGACAATGTTCAAATTTATAATCATTTATGGCTGGCCGCATAGGAATATTTGCCAAGTTATATAAATTTGCAGTATGTCCTTGGTGATTCATTGCTAAGGTGTGAAGTAAGCTTTGTTGAGGATTTACACTGAACTTAAGTTTCAGAGACAAGAAATTAACCTGAAAGTTCTAGTTTGCAACATATTTAAATTTCTGCAACATTTGAGAAAGTTATTATGTAAATTAGGAAAAAATTAAAAATATACCCTTCCTCTTGTCCTAAATTTGAAACATATAATGAGGGTGCTCATTAGAAGTTGCATGATATCTAACTGTGTTACTGAATGCTAGTTCTATGATGAAATTTTTGTTGAGGGAAAAGTGATTAAAGACACTAACTGATGGTACAGACTAAAAGCAGGGGTATCTTTAAGGACTGGGCTCTAGACAAATTGACCAACTGTGAGCACGATTTTGTCTGGATGTTTTTAAGCCAAGGTCTTCAGTGAAATTCAACTTGTTATAAAAGAGATATACATCAATACGCTTAAGTGCCAAATTCTTATGCCCACCTGCAAAAAATCATAATGACACCCCAATGAAAGTGAAATGCATGTGCTATGATTATTGATAGCTACCTTCAATGATATCCTTTGTCCAGGGACACTTTTCAGGTCCTCCCTGTTGATGTACAACCTGCTCTACTGTGCGCTCAAAAATTCCATAGTTGTTATCAGAATTTACTCTGAGACAAGAACAAACACCGTGATTAAGCCACGTATTCTGTTTTAACAGTATTAACACTTAGACAAAAGCAACAACAATAAGGTATTCACATAACATCTCAATATTTCTAGCAGCAGCTTAGACTCTGATTTCACGGTTTAATCAATATAAAGTAAAATATCTTTGAATATAATAACATGTTACTCACTCTTCGTCAAGATAAAATCCACCAAAGTCGTCTTTTTTTAAAAGAAGTTTATATATCCTTCTCACAGCTCTCTAAAAGATTGAAATAATTTCAACAATCAATTTGTCACCTTTCCCCTATTTCTACTTCCACGCTTTTTACACAAGTACCCATCTGTGTGATTAAAACAGTGGAAGTCAAAAGGGTTCAAGAGAAAAGATAATAACATGAATTTTCGTACTGGATTATTCTCGTTGAAAGAACAGGGAGGAAAAAACCTTTCTGGTAGACCTGTTTATGGTAAAGGGGATTATCAAGTAAATGTAACCACACATAATTATGCCAAATGATTACCGCGTAAATAATTGAGTTATGCATATAATTTGCGCGCCAAACACGTACTCAACATAAAAGCAAATCTTGCCCGAAACAGAACTGAATTCAGCAAATCATGAACATATATCACATTATTTATGCTCATCGGTTAAGTTTTTCTACTCACTCGACAAGCTGGTGGAACTACTATCGTCCTTCGCTTCTGTCTATTTTGGCGCCGACGGACTTTGGCTCCATTATCACCAGTGTCAAAACGGTTCTCAATCCGCTGAAGAGCCTCTAAGTTCGATTTGTTGCTGCGCTCTTGCTGCTGCCGCAGCTTTTCATTTTCGCTCGCCAGAGCCCGGTTGCTGCGGATCAATTCCTCCAGCAGTACGATGCATTCTTCGGACATGTTACTATTTCTAATTGGCGCTGGAACCACATTATCATCTTGATTTTGTCCGCGATCGTTTACTCGTCTTTCTGCCATTTCCTTCGCTTACTTTCCCTTACTCTGAATTAGCTGTAAAATAACCAGACAACAATCGCTTCGTTCGGATGATTTGTTAAGAGAGTCGTCAATGGAATTGAGATTCAAAAAAGCGCGCGAAGGACCTCATGTGCCTCGTTGTGATATACACTGTACCGAGTGAACTGGGCCTAGCTAACGCTGGCGAGTACGAATGAAGACTCAAGTGTAATTGGAAGCAAGGAAACACGGAGGCCTTTTGTGGCGGGAAAACTTCTACTACAATATACACGTTCGATCTTCACTTGTTCAAGCAAACAGCTTTGTACCGATACCTAAATTTCATCAAGGTAAGTTGTTCATATATCTAAAATTTAGCCGTGTGTTGGTAAGGGATATCTTGTAACAAAGGAAATTTATCTAAGCGTCAAGTCACGGTATCGAAGTTAATTAATTCGATTACATTTCTTGCGCAAGAAAGTGATTTTGTTGTGTAATGATATGTGATCGACGCTTGATACAATTGTGAATTGTTTTCTTTTAAGTGTGATTAGAACAATTACGAAAGTAAGCTTGTGATAAAAAAAGCTTGTATGTATGGCATGCAAACAGAACTCAATCGAGAACAAATAAGTAGGGGCAGGGGGGACGGTGTGGGAGGTAATGGACTTTTTTGAAATAGCGGGTTGCTTTTCAACAGTGGAGGATATATACATTTTTATTTTGACTAGGAGGGAATGAATAACAAGATAAGCTCAATTTAATACAGTCAAATCAATAACAATACAACCAATACTGTAGGTTTTTTGTTTAGTGGGAGGAGAGAGGAGTGGGCTTATTAGGGTAAAGACATCTTAGTCAGGTGGCCTTGATAGATAAGGGGCACCTAAAGAGCAGTTGTGGCATTGAGCTCACATGAATACTAGAGTATGGTCATTAAAAACCTCATTTCAGTGCCATTTAAGGAATTTAAGCTTCATTCCTTGATTGTATTTTGAATTTAAAACTTTAAGTAATCATACATGATACTTGTTATGAACATAAACATCAAGGACACTTTTGAAAGTTTGGCTTTTCAGTTCTTAATGCTCCTGGATCATTGTGAGTGACCACATTATTTTTACTAAGCATTTTGTGGCTTTCTGATAAACATTTACTCAGTCTAAAGTAAAATAAGATATGCTTAAGGATATATAAAGAATGTAGAGTGTCAATGCTTGGTTCAGGCTCCAGAGACAAGTGTGAAAAAATTTTTTTGACAAATTATACATAAGTAGACAAGACAGGCTTTACTCAATTTTCATGCGTTTGAATGTATGGCTTCTAAACTGAAAGTATGTTTGAGTATGTCAGGTTTTTTAAAATGTGGAATCTTTACGCAAGGTTTGGGTTGGGAGTGACAGAGTTTTAGTCAGACCTTAATGCTCCTGGATCATTACAAGTGACCACATTTCTGTTACATTTACATTTTTTAACTTTGTGATAATGTTGTTTCCTTTGAAAGTGGGTATAGACATGACAAAATCTTCCAACTTCTTCTTGGGCGAAACCAACTGTTTTGTACATGTATTTTTGTGCTGGCTTTTCTTCCCTCCGCATTTATTTCATTACCCAAAATAAGGGAGGGCAGCCCTCCCCTAGATCTGCCACTGGGTTATAAGCACATGTCATTTACTTCAAGCACTCTTCTTTTTCAGCTTGAGGATCATGTTTCAGAAGAAGACATTTCACTTCCAATGGACAAGTTGGATCACAGAGAGCTAATGGTATCTTGTGTAGGATAGTGAAAGAAAAAACATTAGAATTTGAGTCCCTTGTGAGGATTCAAACCTCATGCAGTCAGCCCAGAGAAGGCAATCCCAGCTGGGTGGAGAGTTTCGTGCGCTCCTCTCAGTGCTTGTTTATTTTTGCGTCCCGAGGAGAGGTGCAGTGCAGATTGCCCATATTTCGGTCTTACCCTTTGGTACCTCGGCAATGATATGCTCGTATCGTTTTTATTTTTATGCTTTATGGTTCCTGCTTTTTTTTATTTGATACGTGCACTGAGCTGTTAAATAGGTCTCAAACCTGGAGGCCAGACCCATTTCGGTTGTCGGCTGTAACCACCAGAGGACTGTGTCTGTATTCAAGCAGGGATTTACTTTTCTCTTTTCTGCGGCACACTTGACATTTAAAGTCAAAGGAATGCAAAACAACTATATCCAAGTTGGAGAGTATCTGCTTCTTAACTGAACAACATCAAAAAATTATGGCATTAGCAGAACTGAATGGTGACTGAAGCTTCCAGAGCTTAACTTGAAAGGGGCCACCAGAAGTAACTGTCTATGTTATACCAGTCAAATATCAATTATCTCTCATACATACTGGTTGTAAGGTTTTAAAAATGTAAAGTTTTTCAGTAAGTGGAATCTCAATGCCTAGCACAAGCTGCAAATGTCAAAATCCCTACATTGCCAGGCTCCAGGAAGATGTAAGTGGGTATAGGCATTTCAACTCTTTCAAGAACAAACTCTCTCTCTCTTTATTGTTATTTTTTGTTTGAGACTCTCTCTACATACATACTGGTTATGAGGTTTTAAGAATGTCAGGGTTTCAGTAAGTGGAATCTCAATGCCTAGCACAAGCTGCAAATGTCAAAATCCCTACATTGCCAGGCTCCAGGAAGATGTAAGTGGGTATAGGCATTTCAACTCTTTCAAGAACAAACTCTCTCTCTCTTTATTGTTATTTTTTGTTTGAGACTCTCTCTACATACATACTGGTTATGAGGTTTTAAGAATGTCAGGGTTTCAGTAAGTGGAATCTCAATACCTAGCATAGGCTGCAAAGGTCAAAGTTCATATATTGTCAGGCCTCAGGAAGATGTGGATAGGTTATGACCACATTCATTTCTCAATTTATTTTGTTTAGTATTTTTTTTTGAAGTTTGGTACAGACTGCAATTGACAACTTTCTGAGTAATTTTTTTGAGACAGTCTTAATCTCTGGTCAATTTAGTTTCTTTCCTATACACAGACTCTCTGGAGTTGCAGTCTTTTAATCAAAAGAATATTTCATTTGTTATTATGAATCTACCTGTTCACAGATGAATTTCAGAAAACAATATTTTAACTTGTATACTATGTGCCCCTATCTACCCATTTCACCCTCTAAGATCTCAATATTATTTTTCTAAATTCCTTTCATACAGTTTTTTTGATATATTTGTGAGAATATTGATATATTGCTAGTGTGTTAGGGAGAGTTGCTTATTAACCAGTCCTTGAAGTAAAAGGGTTGGGAACTCCACGTGTTGGGCTTCCAACTGAAACAAAGGCCTCATTTCACTTTATTGTAATAGAATGTAATTATAAACTGACTATACCTTGCCAAGATCACATTTTGTTCTCTTTTGTACTGGAAAGCATACTACTTGTTTATACAGAATCTACTTGTTCATAAAAGATGGAAGCTGGAACCTTAAGTGGAATCTTTTGAGGGAGATCACAGTTAATCAAAAAGCAATCTTAACTGTATGGAATTATTTGATATTTACTTAGTAACCAGCTGAACTTTAGAAATACATTCGAACATTCTTATTACCACAAACTTTTAAAAGCAATTAGGACTTTCCTCTGTGTAAAGATAGTTACTATTTCTAATACGATGCTCCCTTTACGTTTTGATTCAGGGATGATTGTGAATGCCTGTGTGCGATATTTTTACAAGAACACATTCCTTGTTATTTGTGCAACAGCAATTGTTTGTTGTCCCTCCAGCTCAAGTTTAGCAGAGGCAAACCTGGAAAATACCCTCTGGAGTGGCATAAACGATGCTGGCCCCCCTGGATGGAATTTATTTTTATAGATTTTAATTGGGTTTGCAAAATAAGATTCCTCATGGGCTAAAAACCATCTTACACATGCAAAGTAGTGCGTGACATGTTCCTCTCCAAGCTTGATTGAATGTGTAAAATAGTACTGGACGATGCCTGGAGATAAAACAAACGCGTCTTGAAGGACTTGTCCATTCTTTGCTGGCCAGGATGCTAGTATCTTGGCAGAACGTATTCCTCTTGGTTGCATTTTGGACCCATACCTAGTTGACCAGATTTTAAACGAGCTAAATTTATATATAGTTTCTGCGAGATTACTCTCTTCAATTCGCCTCTCTGGGTACATCACTCTATAGACGGCGGTTAGTAATTTCAAATCATCGGTATCAAAAGAAACGAGCTTGAAGCATGACGAAACATTAATCCCCGATTTATTCATCCAGTTTATTTCACGTAGTGGCACATTCGTAGCAACATTATAAAATTCGTAGACCGTCGGCCAGTCGGAAGGGGAAACATCTTTATCATCTGGGGTTGTACTTTCTTCAGGTGAACAAAATTTAAGAAAATCTCCTTGAAACTCGTTTGGTAGTGTCATGTCCTTTAGGAATCTTGTCAGTATGAATTTTCTCATGATTTGGAGTTCGATGGATCTTTTGTTTGTTGTTGTACTGCCCAGTATGCCATTAAATCTTTCGAAGCTAAAACACCAAAAGCTAGTAACTGGTCCATGGTCGAGAATAACCTCTTTCAAATGGTTGTGCAAGTGCATATTTGGGGTAATGGCATCTTTTCCATAAAGAGTCTCCACTGATTTGCAAAATTTTAGAATCAATCCGTCGGCAATATCAAGTTCTGTTTTCGTAATAGCGGACTGGCACAAATATTTACATGCTAACACAAATGTCTGCCAGCACCGGAAATGTTCCTCTGGTAGAATACCTTGAAGGCAGAAAATAGAGTAAATGAGTGTCCAGTTCTTCCACTGCTCTGCTGTATATGAACCACAATTACTGGTTATCCTCATCGGTAATCGTCCGATGTCACTAGGAACCTCGACTGATTTTATCCTTTCCTCGATTTCGTTCAGTTGGCTGGGCGAAAAAAGTTTTGAGTCTGTCCATAGTTTAAACATTCTTTTGGCAGTTCCGAGAAAGAGATTGTGCATAGGATCAACCGTGCAAAATCTAATAACATCAAAGTAATCGAGTCTCAGTAAA